CAAGTGGAGTCGACAGCCGAGTGGCGAGCGCGCTAGGGCTTGGGACACGAGACACCCTCAGCCCAGGGATCGAGTCTTGGTCGGGGCGAACAATTTCTTGTTGTTTTTTCGCAGGAGGAGGGGGGGTGGGCCGTAGGCGGTCAAGTCCACCGCCCCATGTCGGCTGGTCCTTTGTCTTAACCCTTGGTCCCCGCGCCGCAAACTACTAAATAGGAAAAAATGAACCTCGGATAGTATTCGAACCGACAACCATCCGCGTCCTAAGCGAGCGCTCTACCAACTGAGCCAATGATGAGGGTTTTGCATAGGTGAGGCTTATATCCGATGTGGCTCTCACACAGAAACATATGGCTGGCAGAGGGAAAAGGGTTCCGTCGACTAGATTCGAACCAGCGACTGGGTGCGTACCGGCCCATCACATCAAATGTCGCACTGCTGTAAAGTCATGGCCAGCGGAGTGCGAAAATTATCACGATTATCACCCGACCGAGATTCGAACCAGAGACCAGGTTCATGGCGGGCCCGGACGCTACCGACTTGACCACGACGGTACGATACAGAGCACTACTTTCAGCGGCATCTTGATCTAAGCTGTGACCGACGCCCGAAGACACTTTTGGCCAGCAGAGCAGGGAAAATGACCGTGGATGAGATTCGAACTACCGACTACCCGCATGATCTGCCAACGATCACGCTTTAACACGCTCGGCTGCCAGCTTGCTCCTACGGGGCCGAGGTCTGAGCTCGGTCATGCCTAACGGGAGACAAAAAGCGACAAAGAAAAAATTTGCCCCGCCCGGGAGTTGATCTTAGGGCCGACAATTTTGGTTCGGATGAATCTGCATGCCGTCGTCATGTCGACTCTGGTGTTCACAGGCTCACGTTCGCCCCTTGCTGGCGACGTGCTCGAGCCCACTGGAGCACCTCGACATCAGGAACTGCAGCGACCAGACGGTGCGCGGCCTGGGGACGGTCGGGTTCGCCAGCCTGCAGCACCTCGTGCTGACGTGCGCCTTCGGCCACCGGCGCTGGAACTTCCACTCGCTGGACTCGGCGCTGGCGGGACTCCCACAGCTGCGCTCCCTTCACATCCTGGGCCTGCGCAGCCCCCGCCCGCCCGACGTGCTTTCCTGCCTCTCGGCCGCCTCCATGCCCAACCTCAGCCTCATCCTCTTCACCGACAGCTTCACGTCGGCCGGCTCCTTCGACTCCGAAGTGGACTCGGACGAAGACGCCGACCTGCTAGCGGACTATTTCGGCTCCCCAGGTAAGATACTGCTTTTAACGTGTCTGTGGTGTGCTTCAGTGCAGAGCTTGAGACCCTCGTCATTTAATTGTCTCCGCACAGTCTGCCAGGACCTGGTGCGGCGCGCCCCGCAGCCGCTCCACGTGGTCGCCAGAGTGAGCTGGTTCGCGAGCGAGGCCCCGTACGGGTGCGTTGTGTTCTTCAAGCACTCCACGGCCGATGCCGCCGTAGTGGCGTGCTCGCTGTGCGACGAAGCGAACGTCGCACTAGTCATGCGCTCTGGCACGGGCACTAAGATTCAAGAGCGTGTTCAAGTCCAATAGGACTCGTGCAAACTGTGACCACTGAGCTCCTACAAATATTTTATGATAAAGATTGAGAAAGAAATATGTTCGTTTGGTGTTCTCGTTTGCCAGTGTACTCGTGGAGTATTTCTCATCTCATGTCGGGATGGTACAAATCTAGTAATTATAGAGATAGATTGTTTCAAAATAACCCCCTCCCCCCTTCGAATATGAGCAATTTTATCTTATCCTTTTATTTTATCTGATTCGAATGATTCATGTCCACTGTAGGCTGGACCTCTTGGTACAAGATCATCTTCAATTTTTATGAATTA